AGACATGGTTGACCTTGATGTGCGGAAACCATGTTGGCTATTGCTTAGCATATTATTAGCTTCTAGTTTTATTAGCTTTAAATAACTTTAAACTATTAGCTTGTCCCGGTAATGATGTCCTTACTGAAGAAATAAAATATTCATTAAATAAGTTAGCAATTTTTTCATGATCAGAAACAAGAAGTCCATTTACTGAGATTTGTGAATTGTTATTAAATGTTTTATTGTTAGAAGAAGTAAAGTCAGGTGGACTGACAGGAACTCTGACCAGGTTTGGTCTCTTTGTTATTAATAAAGTTGCTTCTTTTAGACAGATTTATATAAAACAAAACACAGAAACTTTACAGACCAGCTGGAACCATCAACACAAAAACTAAAAACCTTGTGTCAGCGTTGGTTCAGTGTCACTTTCATTGTGTTTGCACATTTTGGTTTTCTGGACTAAACTTTATAAAACTAAAGTTACAACAAAGTGATAAAAGATACACACCAGATACACATCAGATACACACCAGATACACACCAGATACACACCAGATACACACCAGATACACAACAGGTTAGTCAGGTTGGAGTGGTACCATGTGAGGTAAACAGTTAAAGTATAATCTTATTTATAGTCAGATACTGTTTACTGTGTGTAAACAAGAAGCTCAAACTGGTTCTCTGACCAGTTTGACCAGTAAGAAATCTGCAGCCAGTTGGAACAAGATTCAGTAAAAAATCATTTCAGCTGGTAAATCTGTAAGTAAATCCTCTTTTCATTATACAGGTGTGTTGTTGTGAACCAGTTACCTGTGTGTGTTCATCGGGTCACACAGGTGTGTGACCCGATGAACACACACCTGTGTGACCTGATGAACACAACACACCTGTGTGACCTGATGAACACAACACACCTGTGTGTTCATCAGGTCACACACACCTGATGAACACACAGGTGTGTGACCTGATGAACACACACAGGTGTGTTCAGGTGTTAAAGTTAACCAGTTGTTCTTCAGTGGTTCAGTCAGATCTGATCTTTAGTTTTGTTGTGTTTTTATATCCGGGACCAGTCACATGATCAATGAAACGAATGAATAGAAAAGGTTCTGGTTCTGGTCCTGGTTGTGGTTCTGGTCCTGGTTCTGGTTCGGGACTCACCGTTTGGACACCGAGCCTCGGGCCGAGCTGCCGCCGCTCTCACTGGCCTTCAGAGCCGAGCCGGAAGTGGCAGCCGCCGCGGGGTCCATGTTCTGAGAGGCCATGAGTGGTACCGGTCCGTTTCCTGTCGAGACCAGAACCGACACACAGACAGGGTCAGACGGGCCGAACCGGGACCGACTCCGTTTGAGCCCGGATTAGCCAGTAGCACAAACATGCTAACTGCAGCGGAACCGGAGCGTCTACCGGTCCGGTACCGGTACCGGCTCGAGCTGTTAGTATAGCTTCATGCTAACAGGTGTCAACATGTTTACAACCACAGCGTAAACAAACAAACAGTCGCGTTACACGGACGTGTAAACACACCTGTGTACAGAACTCACCAGGTGTCGGTTCGGTTCGGTTCGGTTGTGGAGACGCTGGTTGTTAGATTCAAACTGAACCTTCTCCCGCCCCTTGTTTTAAACCGACAGTCTGACTGTCAGCCAATCAGAGAGCGACTTTCAAAAACAAACAGACCCTCCGACCAATGAGGAACAAGAACACCGAGAGGCTGTCTGTGATTGGTCAGGAGACCGGAAACACTTTAACCTACATTTAATGTTGACGTCACAGACAGGAAAACACTGAATAAACAAATAAAAAACATTTATTGTTTTTATATTTACTAATAAAACATGTCTTATATTTCAAGAGCTGAACTGTGCTGGTTCTGGTTCTGGTTCTGGTACTGGTTCTGTTTGTCTGGTCCGATCAGACAGCAGGTGGCGCCACACCTGACTCCTGCAGCGACCAAAGAAGAAGAACTCAGCGGAAGTCTGGGGTTCTGAACAGAGGTTCCGTCCAGGGTTCGGTTCAGGGTTCGGTTCGGTTCGGTTGTCCTGTCGGAACCATGAACGCGCCTCCCGCCTTCGAGTCGTTTCTGCTGTTTGAAGGAGAGAAAAAGATCAGCATCAGTAAAGATACGAAGGTTCCCAACGCGTGTTTGTTCACGTTAAACAAGGAGGACCACACACTGGGTAACACAATCAGAGCGTGAGTAACACAACAACACAACACACACTGGGTAACACAATCAGAGCGTGAGTAACACAACACAACACACACTGGGTAACACCATCAGAGCGTGAGTAACACAACAACACAACACACACTGGGTAACACAATCAGAGCGTGAGTAACACAACAACACACACTGGGTAACACAATCAGAGCGTGAGTAACACAACAACACACACTGGGTAACACCATCAGAGCGTGAGTAACACAACAACACAACACACACTGGGTAACACCATCAGAGCGTGAGTAACACAACAACACAACACACACTGGGTAACACCATCAGAGCGTGAGTAACACAACAACAACACAACACACACAGTTTAAAAAGCAGAACTAACAGTAAACTGAGTTTCTGGTCCTCAGAACAACAATGTTGAGAAAACCTGACTTATGGGGACAGAAGGGTCAGGACTCAGGTGTGATGGACAGGTAGGGGTCAGGACTAGGGCTGCCACAAATGATTATTTTAATAATCGATTAATCACAGATTATTTATTATATTAGTCGACTAATCAGATCAAACGTTAATTGAATATAAAACATAGAGCTTATCACACCAGAACACAGCTGTTATTATATAACCATGGTTAGATTTTAGCTACATGCTAACTAAAAATAATAGCTGTGGAAGGTAAGTTCTGCTCTGCAGATATTACAC